ATAATAATAATAATAATAATAATAATAATAATAATAATAATAATAATTCACTGACCAGGGTCACTGTCCTGAAACACAGTGATCTGGTTATCTTCGATGCTGGAAGATTGTGGCCCTTAATTTTTTGTCAAGTTTTAAGTACCACTCAGTCAAAATGCCTTTTTCTTCTCCTATACGTAAGTGATAGATAAGTGATAAGATACTACCAATCCTTGCTGTTGCAAATGATGACTCTAATCATTTGACATATTTCTGATTGAATTGTCATAATCTATTCCTTTTCCTTTCATTTCCATTTAACCTTGCACACATACTTTTTAATTTTCCGCAGAACAGAGCAACCAAAATGACTGGGGAGTTATAGAAGCTTCCATCCAAGGAAGACCTAAATCATGTGGTGCTTTTTATCAAGGTAATGATATCAAGGTAAATAATCAAGGTATAGTCAAGGTAATGGGATGTAGAAGAACAAAAGCAAAGTATATAATATCACACATAGCTGAAAAATAAGTACAGACAGAAGCTTTTTTTCCACTTCAACAAATAATCTATTGAACCTAAATGCAGATTTTTATTTTTTTTTAAAGAGGATACAATGCAATTAGATGTGGTTATGGCTTACAATTTAAATGATTTTGAAGAAGACTAGCTACTACTATTGCATACTAACTCTTGAACCACATGATGCCCATCTTAAATTCAATCTTGGGTATAGCCATTTATGTTTTGACTACCATTAGGTTCAAGGTTTTTTTTTTAAAGAAAAAAAAACTGAGGGAGTTCAATAACCAGTCATTGTACAGGGTGCCAAGATGTCTGACTACCACTTAGTGTTTATTACTTTTTATACAATTTTTACAATCAAGGAAGAGTAACATAGATACAGCATTTGGATTGGAGAATAAATACAGCATTAGGATTGGCGAAACCTCCCAACCAACCCTTAAGAATATTGGTGATGTTAGTAAGGTGAGATCATGGACAAGTCCGGGACTTTCCAGCCCAGGATAGAGAGTGAGATCATTGCAAAGAGGCCCATATAGGTATTAGACACAGCAGCATGCTGCTTACGTCATCTACAGGATGTCTTTTGTTACTACAAAAAACTATTCTAGATTATTATCTTAAAATAATCTCATATATTTAAAAGGTCATTTCTTTTTTTAGTGGTTTCCTCTATCTAATCGTCTCAACTTCCACAGAAAGCCATTAGAATTGGAGGTGTCTTATATCATGGTATGAATATAAAATAAATCTACTAAAATTTGTGGAATTCAATTTCACACTGCTTTGGTAACAACTCATCATCTGTAATAATAGAGATATAAGATTCAACGTTTGATGAAATAAAATCCCCAAATTCCACAAGAGTCAAGTTCTACTATTTACTATGGGTAAACCTTTATTTAATACAGGACTGATCTACAACTCTACTTCCTAAATAAACAACAAAAAAGCTATGACGTTGGACTAAAATATTTCAAAAATCGCATGAATAGGAACAGAATTTTCCAAGATATTTAGTGATATATAGATTTTTGCTTGGAATGGTTAAAGCAACAAGGCATTGGATCATATATTTTTTTCATCATAGTACTCTAAGAACATATGTTACAGATAAATTTATTTATTTTCATTGCCTGGTAAGAGATCAGTCCAAATTGATTTCAGAAGATACAGATTTTTATCTGGCACCAATAGTGAGTTTGGTGGTTTATCTACTGGGATGTGGGCATTCCAGGCAGCACATAATGCTATTCTTGGTGGTTTTTGAAGTTAAGAGTTGTTCTTAAATGAAGTCACCATTTAATAGATTCAAGTTTGCATATCTTTCATTCTACCTTTTGCAACTTCCCCCTCGTGCAACAGGTGCTGCTCATCATAAATAATGATCTACCTACCTAATTGTTCCTCTTTAGTGTTCTGCCCACATTCATATTTCACTGCTCAGTCCAATTTTCTCCTCTTTCTAGCTGTATTGAGTCCTGTGTAAGAGTAAGTAGAACTTCACTGTTTTATTATTAGCAGCCTGATAAAAAAACAAGAATAAGGTAGGCAGGAAGGGCAAGAATTACAGAATTATACAGGCTTAATCAGTTGTCCAGCTTTTCCATTCAGGAAAGCTGGGAGTGAATTCCAAGGGGATTCTTCTTGCAGTAACTATTTGGAGTAGGAAGAAAAGCTTTCTAGTTTTTTTTAAAAAAATCCTATCTAAATTAAAATTGCATAGGTCCAATATCTATCAGGATTGTACCAAAATAGGTGAAACAGCAAAAGGAAGGACTTTGAAATATAACTCCACCTTTAGCTGAAAGAGTAGAAAGTTTTTCAAATGCAACAAAAGTTGGCTTTCTGTATTTTGCAGTTACTGAAATATATATATTACTGCCTAAAGAGAGTCTGAATGAATACTGAACCCAGAAGTTAAAACTGTCTACTGATTCAGCCCTTAGGGACAGATTTAGACAGAGCTCTCAGTGTCAGGACTATTTGAAATATATTTGCATTCTTACTTAAAATATTGTGAGATCGCCCAGACATTTGAGATAAGATTACATCATTTTGCTGATTTATAATTTTGAAAAATATAATTTGAGGACCTGAAGATGATATGAGGATATGCCCTAAAAGAGATCTTGGATAAATATTTCAAAATAAATACATTTTAAATGTATAGGGTTGTACATCTAATTCTCATCACACAATTTCTCTTTCATTTCTATTCTTAACATTCTAATTGTGTAATGATAGTAATCAAGAAAAAACTGAGGATTTAGAGGTGATGGGAATTACAAACCAACTCACCAACTCATGCCATTTTGCTATATATGGTCAGTTCTACATTCTGAAAAGGGACGTGGTGGCTCAGTGGCCAAGACACTGAGCTTCTCAATCAGAAAGTTTGGAAGCTCGGTGGTTCGAATCCCTAGCACCAGCTCAGAGTGAGGTCCCATTACTTGCCCCAGCTTCTGTCATTCTAGCAGTTCGAAAGCATGTAAAAATGCATGTAGAAAAATAGGGACCACTTTGGTGGGAAGGTAACAGTGTTCCATGTGCCTACAGCATTTAGTCATGCCGGCCACATGACCATGGAGATATATTCGGACAGTGCTGGCTTTTTGGCCTTGTAATGGAGATGAGCACCACCCCCTAGAGCCAGAAATAACTGTCACATATGTGCGAAGGGAACCTTTACCTTTACATTCTGAAAAGTACTTATCCTCACTTTCTAAATATTTGCACGACTTGCACTGATCTCTAAAAAGTACAATCCTTCAAAAAAATGGAAGATCCATCCATCACCATTGCTCCAAAGTGTTTACAAAATGTTGGAATTATTCCAATTCAGCTTCCCGGTCACTCTAAGCTTCTTAGAAACATCATTATTGTAATAAGAAAATCTTTTAAATGATCTTCCTCCCCAAAAATCTCAGTCAAAAATAGCAGCAAATCTCTCTAGTACCAATATCTGAAAACCTGGATTTTCACTAGAGTAGGGAAAAAAACTCAATCAAAACGATAAAGACAGGAAAAAGGGGAAGAAGCAAAGTATTCAGATCATGTTCAAACAATACTCTTCTTTCCTAAGATTCCTGTTCTAGATCAAGAAGATAGTCATGGAGCTCACCATTAATATCTGGGTCTTCTTAATCCTTCTCTACTGGCCATGGGATTCAGAAACACGGAAATATGAAGCCATCCTTAAGGTGCCAAATGGAGGACGATGGGGTATTTGGGGAAAGATAATATTCTGTCCCAACGGACATGTTAATGGCTTCGCACTGAAGGTATTTTGCTTCTCCCACCCTATTGCTCTTTTTGGTTTATGGGTATGTTCCTCCAAAAACAGAATGGCCTAGGGTAACATCTTAAACAAAAGTTATGTGGGGACAAAGAGAGGAAGAAGAGAACCATGGAGTAGTGATAGAACAGAAATGCTTTTGCAAGCATAAGGATGAAATTTTGAGTATCCTCTGTCACTTCTACAATAGACCAGGTCAGGAAACTGACTCCACAAGAAAGCTAGAACGGTACTAGAGTGGTATTCAGCAGGTTCTGACCAGTTCTGGAGAACTGGTAGTGGAAATTTTGAGTAATTCAGAGAACTAGCAAACACCATCTCTGACTGGAGATTTTACAGTATCCTTCCCTTGCTACGCTCACCAAGCCATGCCCACAGAACCTGTAGTAAAAAAATTTGAATCCCACCACTGAACTACACATTGTATCAGGGGTGTCAAACTCGATTTCATTGAGGTTGACCTTTGTGGGCTGGGGGGTGCGTGGCCAGGGGGCATGGTCAGGGTGGGCATGGCCAGCTCGATATCATTTAATGAGGCTCCATTTTCAGCTCCAATGGCCTCCTGCAATCCTCTGAGGTCTGTTTTCGCTGGCAAACCACCACGGGCTGGTCCTTGGCTGTTTCCAGGATAGGCCCTTGGGCCAGATCTAAGTACCCAATGGATCAGATCCAGCCTGTGGGCCTTGAATTTGACACCTCTCCATTAGGTAGTCTTTGACCTACAGTCACAATTAGGACCAGAATTTCCATTACAAAGCAAGGTAGTTGTTAATGAGTCATGTCTGATTTGACAACTTTTTTGCCGTGGTTGTTAAGTAAATCATGCCCTCATTAAGTGAATCCAATTTTCCCCATCGACTTTGCTTGTTGGTAGTTGGCTGGGAAGGTTGCAAAAGATCATAACATAATCCTGGAATGTCACAACTGTCATAAATACATGCTGATTGCCAAATGTCCAAAGTTTGATCAGCAACCATGGATTGCATCATGCATGGGAAATCTATGACAATCATATGTGCCTGGACTCTCATAACTCACTTTTTCCAGTTCTGTTATAACTTCAAATATTCATGATTGTAATGGTTTAAGTCTTCTTTTCCTTCCTTTTTATACTTGTGGGATCTAAGGGAATCAGTCTGAGTATTTATCGAATACTTTCCCACTTCCCTGGACTTAACATATGATTCTTCTTCCTCTGGTGACTTCTGGATGCCTTTGTCATGGGCTTGTCCAAGGTTTCTCACAATTAATAGGATCTTCAGGTATGTCGCACAGGAAAAAGTCCAATTGTGTGACTCTCGTAAGTCAGAACAGGGAAAAAGTAAATGATCAAATATTCTGGTGTAGTACTGTAGATGCAGCAGTGGTTTGTGCTGGACTTAGAGCAAAACCTGAGGGACCAGGGATCATCTATGTGACCATCAAAAATTGACACATACTTTGATAAAGATATGAAGATTTGGCTTCCATGGCATGGGCTGATAGTAAAAATTAGAATAGCATTGAAAACAGTGCTATATCTTATTTATCAACTTAGGTCTTGTGTCTCATGGCTCTTCTAGTACAAAAGCCAAATAATCTGCAAATGCCTGTAATTTATATTCTTCCATCCCTTTTATTTCCTTGTCTTTCCTAATATTTCTGTTTAACACTGCTAGTTAATACAAATAATAATGGCGACAAAGGACACCCATGTCTTGTTCCCTTCTTAATGTTATTTTTTTCAGTCAGCTCTCCATTTACCATCACTTTTGCATATTGTTTGTAATATATTGTCTTAATCATTTTAATAAACCTTTCCCCAAAATTCATTTCTTCCACTGCCAGTTCACATTGTCAAATGCCCTCTGTACATCTAAAAAGATTAATGCCATTTGCTTTTCTGGATGCGCTTCATAGTATTCCAGAGTATTCAGAATTATTCTCATGTTGTCTTTTATTTGCCTCTTAGGTAAAAAGCCATTTTGATCTGAGTGTATAAATTTGTTTAAGAATCTCTTTAAACTCTCTGCCAATATTGAAGCAAATATTTTGTAATCTGAGTTTAACAATGATATTGGTCTATAGTTTTTAATCCGTTGTAAATCAGAGTCTTCTTTAGGAATGAGAGTGATATATGCCTCCATCCAGGAACTGGGCATTTTTGCCTCCATTAGTACTTCATTCAGCACCTCCAACGTTATGTTGCTCAGGGAGACCTGCAATGTTTTGTACAGTTCTGCTGGTAGGCCATCTGGTCCTGGTGCTTTCCCATTATTTTGTCTTTTTATTGCTTCTGTAAATTCCATCATTGTGATTCTTTCCTCTAGCATTGATTTAACTTCCTCTGGTACTTTGAGTAATTCTGCTCTTTTAAAGTATTCTTTAATTTCTCCTTCTCCAACTTGTTCTTGCTCATATAATTTCTCATGGTATTTTTGCACTATTCTTTTTTTATCTTCATTTCTATAGCAAAGATTCCCTTTAACATCTATTAGTTGAGAAATCTGTTTCTGTTCCATTTCTTTTTTTAGCTTCTATGCTAACCACTTTCCTGGTTTATTTGCATTTTCAAAGAAATTTTGTTTGGATCTCTTTATTATTATTTTTTTGCTAAATCTGGTTTATCTGTTAATTCCATTTTGTGCTTTATTAATTTCATCTTATTTTGTATGTCCTTTCTTTGTGGCTTCTTTGCAATTCCTTCTCTAAGTTTTTTATATTCTTCTTCGAAAGTCTTTTGTGTCTGCCTCTTTTCCCTCTTTCTCTTTTCCACATACGTTATAGTTAGTCCTCTTATATAAGCCTTTGCTGTGTCCCATACGTTTTGTAGTGAAGTCTCTTCCCTTCTGTTTTCATTGAAGAATTTCAACTCTTTTCCCATATAAATTCTTTTTCTTTCCATATTAGGTTATTCATTGTCCACATTGATCTGTTTTGTTGTCCCTTCCATATTACTTTTATTGGATTGTGGTCTTCCCAGGTATTTGTTTCAATACTTATTTCTTGCATATTACAAATCAAGTACAACGTACAAATAACAAGAAAAAAGTCAAGGAAACAGTAGGTCTACTAAAGAGAGAGATGATAGAAGTAACAGGCAGTAGAGAGAAAGCAGAACTGCTTTATTCATTCTTTGCATCAATCTTCATGCAAAAAGAAACTATATCCCAACTACCAAAAACCTAACCATAAAAGACAGACTAGCCACACTTATTAGAATTCCAAAAAGATGGAGGAGATGCTTTCAATGTACACAAAACATGAGACAAGACACAAAACAAAATATAACTTAGTGCTTACAAAGGGTCTACAAACGTATGAACACATAAAAGCATTTTCAGTCAATCAGAATAGAGCTGGAAGGGATCTATATTGTTGCAAAACAGTTGAGCTTTCTTTGCTGTAGGTACAAATTCACCTTTGTGTCACAATAATGTGTGTATGATTTGAAAAAAATACGGTTCATTCTCGATGTAGTGTAGTTGTAGGACTACCATCAGTATCAGGCAAGTCAGAAATTTCCACTGACATTTCCTTATTTTCCATCAGATGCAACCAAGCCATACAACATGGGCTGATGACACAGGAGGTCTCAACGGTGTGCGTCTTAGATGTACCGATGGGACAATAATTGAAACAAAGAGTGGACGGTAAATTGGATTTGTTTCATTTCTTTTGTTGACTTTGTTTTCTTGGAAATAGACAGGAAGAGCAGATTAAAGGGAAATAATCTTTGCTGGTTGAAAAGCAAATGACACTAATTCCAAATCTTTCTGATTACCTTTGAGTCTATCGATGATTATTTTATAGAGTGTAGGTCTTCACAGCTGCTATTTATGGGTGAAATAACTTCTGAGTAGTGTAAAAAAATGAGTATCTGTCAATGTTCAGACTGAACTTGGCAACAGTAGTCATATTCTTTTCTACTGCTTGTGAGGAGAATGGCCACAACTGATAGTTAACTGTCACATAACTAACATATGATAGCTTTCCTCTGTATTTAAATTGTTCAAAAAAATATCACAGAAGCATGGAGTTGAAAGACATTTCACGGGGTATCTATGTCTCCTTCTTGGGACAGAATCTGACAAAACATTTTGGACAAATGCCTATTTAACTTCTGTTTTGAAGACTTCCAGTGAGAGAAAACTCAGTACTTTATGAGCCAGATTTTTCTATTGGCTGATAACTCATTCCATCAGAAAATACCTTCTAATAACTGGAGAACCTTATCTCTTTCTGATACTTTAAATCCAGTGGCTCTTTCCTGTTCTATAGGATGCCAGAGAACAAATGCAGTTCCTTTATATGACAATGGATTAGATTTTTTTTAACCTTGCTGTCATCTCTCCTCTCAATCTTTTCTGCAAGCTAAGCATAAATATTTTCTGTTCCTGTTCAGAAAATGTCATCTGCATTTGATTCCAATAATGGGTTCCAGCTACTTTTCTGCTATGACCACCTCACTTATTTGCAGAGGAAACCACAATATTTTCTCTAACACCTATCCTCCCTGTATAAATATGTTAATATCTTCATCTTGGTTGTGCTTCATTTTCATTTACACTGAGTTTGGTAACATAAAATGTTACTGAAAGTGGTAGTAGGCTACCTACTGTTGCATGATTAAAGGGAAGATAAACTTGTCACAATAGTGAAAAGTACATTTTTTTCAGACTTGCTCAGAAAAGATGGAAAGTTAGAAAAAAAAAATGCACATGCTCCCAGAATGGATTCCTCATCCCCTAATGCAGGTCTCCCTCAGATATAGGCCTCTCGCCTTCACATATGCAGCTATACCCAGGAAAGTTTATATACGTTCTGATTATTACATTGAGATTGAAGGTATTGGATACAGCTTTGATCCATATTTTCGGCCAAATCTTTGAAGTTAAACTTCAGAATATTTATGTCATTTATATCATGACATCAGGGGTATCAAACTCAATTTAATTGAGGGACACATCGGGATTGTGTTTGACCTCGGGGTGCTGTGGTAGGTGTGGCCAGAGTGGGCGTAGCTTGACATCACTCGTGTTGGGGCGCCTGCGATGGCCCGAGTGCTCTGCTAGTGAAAATGGGCTCCTGAATTCCATTTTCACTGGCAGAGGCATCACAGGCTGATCCTTTGCTGTTTCCATGGCAGCCCCACAGGCCAAATCTAAGCCCATGTGTTGTGGAGTGGCAGAATAACCTGAGGCGAACACGGAGCAAACTTCAGCTTTTACTTTATTGTAACAATAAAGGGTTGCTGTGGCTGCTGCACTAACAAGGCAGCCAGCTGGCAGACAACAGTTGATGCCGTTTGACAGCTCCCTTTTATAGCCGGCTGTCAAATGGCATCAGCCAATAGGAACGGTCCATGTTCCTGCTGGAAACACGGACCGGAGTGAAGACTTCAGCTCAGTCTTTTCCGAATGCCACACTCCTTTCCCCCAGAACGGAGCATGCGTAGTCCTTCAGATAACGCAGGCACTTGTGCAGGCGGCCAGATCTTCTAGGTTCTGATGGAGCTGCTGCTGGAAGGAACTTTTCTGCTTTTGGGGCAACTTCTGGTGCCGACAAAGCTGGCGTCTCGGCTTCAGGCATCTCTGGGAGAGGGACAGATGGCTGCTCAGGTAAGCTTGTGTTCCTGTCAGATTCACGGGAAGTTTCTTTGGGCGCCGGCGGTTTCTCTGTCGCAGGAACATTTTGAGGGCCATCTACAGACGAACTCCAACGCCTTCTAAGTTGATCGATATGGCAGCGCCAAATGCACCCATCTTGCAGTTGGACCCTGTAAGACTTAGGACCGGTTACCACCACAATCTGCCCAGGCATCCACAAAGGGTGTCTTGCATAATTCTGGGCATAGACCTGGTCATTTTCAGCGAACTCCTTGCCTGGCTATTTGATCCTAGGAGTGTGACTGGGGCATAATATGGATGGAGTCTGTCTAAAGTAGTCCTCAGACATCTACCCATGAGAAGTTCAACCAGAGTCCTATTAGTGGTGGCACAGGGAGTCATGTGTTGAGTTAGAAGATACTTAGCAAGCCTAGAGTGCCAATTTATGGCCCCAAGCCTTTCCAGGACCTCCTGAGCAGATCTGATTACTCTTTCAGCCAGGCCATTACTGGCAGGATGAAAAGGAGCTGTAAGTGCGTGCCTGATTCCCAGGTTAGTTAGGAAGACCTCAAACTCACAGAAAGTAAACTGGGGGCCGTTATGAGACACGATGGTGTCAGGGAGGCCATGGGTAGCAAATATCCTTGATAGAGCCTTAGTGATGGCTTCTGAAGTTGTGGTGGTCATCAAGGTCAGCTCTACCCATTTAGAAAAAGAATCAACCACCACCAGGAATGTATGCCCATGAACGGGGCCAGCCAGATCAATATGCACCCGGGACCAAGGGGTCCCAGAATCTTCCCATCTACCTGGAGTGGATGTGGGTGGAGCAGGTCTGGTAACTTGGCATGGCTGGCAAGCATTCACCCAACTTGTAATCTGAGCATCCATGCCCGGCCACCATACATAACTACGAGCTAGGGCTTTCATTCTGACAATGCCGGGATGCCCTTCATGCAGGACCTTTAAAACGGAGGCTTGCAACTTGGGAGGGGTAACTACCCTACTTCCCCAAAGTAAACAGCCTTGCAAAGAAGACAGTTCTTGCTGGCGAGTTTTGAAAGGCACGAATTCAGGGGCATAAGGAATTGCAGGCCACCCCTTTCCCACCCAGTCAAGGACTTGGGTGATTACCTTGTCCCTGGCAGAGGGGGCAGCGATATCAAGGTGATGGGACGTTTGAGATCATTGATCAGGAACACAGCATTAGTTGGTGCAGGATCCTCCACAGGAACAGGCAGGGGGCAGCAACTAAGAGCATCAGCGTGGCAGAGACTCTTGCCAGCTCGATGAACCAGTGTATAGGAATAGGCAGCCAGAAATAAAGTCCACCTGGTCATCCTTGGAGACAAAATCTGAGGAGTTTGTCTATTGTCTGACAGAAGGCCTAACAGAGGCTTGTGATCCATAACCAACTCGAAATAGTGTCCATATAGAAACTCATGGAATTTTTTGACAGAAGCAACTGCAGCCAAAGCCTCCTTGTCAATTTGGCTGTAGTTGCGCTCAGCTGGGGAAAAAGTTCTGGAGAAAAAGGCAATGGGTGCCTCAGACCCATAGGCAGTCTATCACTTAAAACGGCACCTATGTCAAAAGGAGAAGCATCTGCTACTAAAACTAAAGGTAAATGCTCATTAAATTGGATCAGAACAGCATCGGATGTAAGCAATGATTTGACTGCACGGAAAGCATGGGCTTCCTTAGGTCCCCAGTGCCAGGGGGATTGCTTATCCAAGAGTCTGTGCATAGGCTCTGCAACAGAAGCTTTATGTGGCAAAAATGAAGCGTAAAAGTTAAGAAGTCCTAAAAAGGCCTGGAGCTCAGTTTTGTTAGTTGGTGTGGGTACCTCATGAATAGCCCTTACTTTGGATTCGATTGGGTGAATAGCAGAAGTGTCAATTCTGTAACCCCAAAATTCTACCTGTGGGGTGGCTATAGTGCATTTCTCCTTCTTTAACTTAAGACCATGCTTCCTGAAACGATCAAGGACTCCTCTGACTCTGCAGTAATTGAGACTTGTCAGGGGCAGATATTAAAATGTCATCAAAATACGGAATTACACCTGGTAATCCTTGAAGAAGTCTTTCCGTTAAAGATTGGAAAATCCCTGGGGCCACACTTACACCAAATTGGAGGTGCCTACATTTAAAAGTGCCCCTGTGCGTTACAATAGTTTGTAGTTCAGTGGCTGTGTCATCAACAGGGAACTGTTGATAGGCCTGTGACATGTCTAATTTCGCAAAAATGGTTCCTGGCTCAAAAGAATGTAGTAGGTGCTGGATAACAGGGACTGGATAAGCGCTGATTTGTAAATATTTATTCAATGACGTCTTGTAATCTGCGCAGATTCTTACACTACCATCTTTCTTCAGGGGTGTCACTACTGGGGTTTCCCATTTTGCGAAGTCCACAGGTTCTAATACACCCTGTTTAATTAATTTGTCAAGCTCCATGTCTAATTTGGAGCGGATTGCAAAAGATACCCTTCGCGGCTTTAAACAGATTGGTACTGCCAGAGGGTCCAAGTTGAAAGATATTGGGGTTCCTGAATAACAGCCCAGCCCCTCGCTGAACACATCAGCATAGTCATTAAACAAGGTGTCCACTAGAGTGGATTCCGCTGATATGGAGGCCAAGGGCAGGGAACCAGTCTAACCCCAACAGGTTAGGGAGGGCACCATCCACTACCACTAAAGGCAAGTGACCTTTAAAATTTTGAAATTGAATAAAAACTTGCCTTTTCCAATGACTGGGATGGTTCTGCCTTGGTAGTCACATAGGGTTAACTGGCAGCCATGAAGCTTCTTCTTAGCCATTCTGGGAAGTAGTTGTTTCAAGGTGCTCCATGAGATGATGGACAGTGCTGAGCCTGTGTCAACCTCCATCCTGCAAGGTTTCCCTTCTATAGGAACAAAAACACTGATTTTGTTAGAGCCTGTTAGTCAGCTTGGCTTGATAGCAGGTAAAACAGTCTTCAACTTGTTTTTGGAAATGTTGAATTGTCTGAGGCTTTTGGGCAAAAGTCTTTCCTGTTTGACAGATCCTGACTAAATGACCCTTCCTCTGGCATTTTAGACAAATGGCATTCCTGAACTTGCAGGATGCCCTGAGGTGGTTTCCCCCACAGCTTAGACAAATGGGCTGAGGCCGTGGAGGTTGATTGGGGGTTGGCCTGTTCTCCCTTTGACTGGTTTTTTGCTACCTGAGGTGATTTACATCATTAGCCTCTTCAGAGCCTTCTTCTGAGGAGGCTTCAACATAATGGGTGGCTGATCTGCTCTGGATAATTGGATTTCCCTGAATTTCTGCTGCTGAAAGTGCTGATAGTTCAGCAGCTTGAGACTCTTCAATTGCTAATTCAAGGGTTAAATCCCCTTTAGCCAATAGATGCCTTTGTAGCCTTAAATCCCTGACTCCACAAACAAGTTGGTCTAATAACATGTCTTCCAGATAGTCTCTAAACCCACAGTGCAAGGCAGCTGTTCGTAGGGTTAGGGTTAGGGTTAGGGTTAGGGTTAGGGTTAGGGTTAGGGAAATAGTCTCTCCCTCAACCTGAATCTGTCTCCTAAAAGCATGATGCCTGGCAATTCGGGATGGCTTAGGGGAATAGTGGTTGGAAAGAATTTCCTGCAATTCTTCCCATGGAACAGTCTTAATTGAACGTGGAGCCAATAATGCCGTAGCAGTGTCAAACACTGTGGCTCCGCAAAAACTTAAAAAGTAGGACTTTTTCCTATGGTCGGAAATGTCAGCGAAGTCTATGGCATCTAGGAAACAGTCAAATTGGTTTCTGTAGGATTCCCATGTTTCTGCTGTCGGTCTGAAAGGCAGGAATGCAGGGTTCGAAGTCATCTTGACTCAGCAGTGCCGGATCTTCTGAGGAAAGTTGAAATTCATGCTCATGAATAGTGACAGTAAGTTCTTAAATTGACATACAGCTCGGTAGTGACTTCGGCTCTTTTTGTAGTGACTTTGCTCAGCGATTCTTTGCCCGGTTGCCTTTTATATGTATCCCGCCCTCGTCACCAGTGTTGTGGAGCGGCGGAATAACCTGAGGCAAACACGGAGTGAACTTCAGCTTTTACTTTATTGTAACAATAAAGGGTTGCCACGGCTGCCGCGCTAACAAGGCAGCCAGCTGGCAGACAACAGCTGATGCCATTTGACAGCTCCCTTTTATAGCCGGCTGTCAAATGGCATCAGCCAATAGGAATGGTCCATGTTCCTGCTGGAAACACAAACCCGAGTGAAGATTTCAACTCAGTCTTTTCCGAATGCCACTCCATGGGCCTTGAGTTTGTCACCCCGTTTTACATTATTATGTCTTAGATATTAGGAAGAATGGAACCACATGTGATTCATGTTATTTCTGCTTCTTGATGATTTACAGATTCTTGATCTTAACTCATTTTGAAATGAGAAATGTCTTTTTTTAATAGATGGGGAAATTGGACAGAATTTCAGGAATGCCCCACAGGCAACTTCGTTTCTTTTGCTCTCAACATGGTAGAAGATAAAGGACTACATGATGATATGGCAGCTAAAAATATCCAATTCAGATGTAAAGAAGGATCTGTACTAACTGGACTGTCACACTATGTGCAAAATTTTGGTCCATGGAGCAAACATTGCCGTGTTGGCTCCATATGTGGAATCCAGGGAAAAACTGAGGAAGTCCAAGGCCAGGGAGATGATGCAACGCTCCGTGATATGAAGTTCTTCTGCTGTGTTTGAACCAAAAGTCTTTGGCACCACTAAAGCACATCTGTCTGTGTTCTACTGGATTTGTTTGACATGAATCCGAACACAACTAAACCTTTAACTAGGAGTTTTATGTGATTTAACAGTTGTGTTGCAAATAGCATGGTAAATTACATTAAAAATGATTTTTTTTTATTTTTTATCTTTACATATACATATGACTTCCATAAATGAAACAATTCTTCATGATTAGATTAAATAGATCTAAAAGTCCTGAAAAAGTTTGCAGATACAATCTCAGTGATTCTTTCACCAATGTTTGATAACTCATGTTTAATCTAGGAAAAATATAAGACACACTTATTATGCACTCTAATATCAGAATTTAACTAATGTAATGTGAATTAATAGTATATGAATTATATGATATAAATTACTAACTTAAACACTTATCTATTTATATTCTTAATCCTAAAATCAATCAATCAATCCAGTTAGACTTACACACACTGTTTCAAATATCTAACAAATTCATTAAGATATTCCCCCCCCATATAAATATGCATACAAAAACATATATATCTAAGTATTTCCAGATATCTTAATCCCTTATTTGTACAAAAATATTAATTCTTAATAATGTTATAAAATTATTTCATTAAACAACTTCTCAATTAATTATTCTTATCATCAGTTAGTCTTTGATTGTCAATTAAACTTTTACTGTACAGCACAAGTTGTTTTATTCTATGTAGAACCAGCAGCCTCTGTTGCATCAGCCACTTCCGTTTTCTCTTCTGCTCTTCTCTGTCCTTACCGCCAATGAAGAATAAGCAGGCAGTTCCTCAACTTCCTTAGGCACCCGCTCTCAGCCTCTTTCTCACTCCAAGTCAAAGTCAGTGGTGGGATTCACATTTTTTTACTACCAGTTCTGTGGGCGTGGCTTGGTGGGCATGGCAGTGGAAGGATACTGTAAAATCTCCAGTCAGAGATGGTATTTGCCAGTTCTCTGAACTACTCAAAATTTTCGCTACCAGTTCTCTAGAACTGGTCAGAACCTGCTGAATACCACCTCTGGTCAAAGTATCCTAAATCTGTCCACTTCTGTTCTTCTCAATTTGTCCACTTGTTCGATCTATTTGTTGGAATTAACTGGCTTGGGCAAATCCTTCACTTCCAAACACTGCTATCACCACAGCCAAATCACTGCCTGCTTGTCGAGTTCATGCTTGATTCTTTTGGAGACTGGCTGTTCTGCCCTTCACGATTTGCAATCTTTTCCTTTTCTGATAGCACTCTCCGTCATTCTCATTCCAGAAATCCACTCATAACAGTTAACAGTTATCTGTTAGCTGATTTCTTCCTTCCTCTTTCAATTGGGCTGTCATGACCTCAGGTCCGCCATTGAAAAAATGACAGATGCTTACACATTGAATTAATGTGGGTGGAGGGTGACCACCCATCACAGCAGGTGGTCGCCTTCCACCTTGCTGCTCCTTGGGTTTCCCTACTTCACGAATCCCTCCAAGACTTGCGTGCCCTCAGGGAGCCTTCCAATGTGTAGATTTGGGGTTAAGAAATGGAGCCCGTTCTTCTTTCCCTGCACCGCTGCGATGTCCAACTCATGACAGATGGGTGACATGGCAGAATAACTGGAAGAATTATTAACGTGGATGCAAAGCACATTGAACAATCTATGTTCAAAACCTAAGTTGCTAATGGTTTCACATTGAACTTGAAGGAGCAACAAGTGGCTTCCTGTAAGGTTTTCACCTAGGTCTAATACTGCTCAACATGTTTATTAATAACATCAATGAGTCCTTAGATAATAGGATTATCCAATAGCAGACATGTCTGAGGGCTGAATCAAGGTTCAAGGAAGATATTGATAAAATGCAACAATGTGCAGAAACCAGCAAGATGAATTTGAACAGGAAAACTTAATATACATTTTTATAGGGAAATATCAAAGTATTATTTATTTATTAAGAACATTTATATGACTGTCCAACTCACTCATGGTAGCTCCAGGAAGTTTATAGAATTACCACTCCCCAAATACAAAACCCAATAAATCCTTCCCTCTCCCCCCCAGTGACAATATCAGGCAAACCACTTGATGGATTCCCTATCACCCAGCTTCCATATCACCCAAAGTTGGCAAAGCAGCTTTGGGGAGCACCCAGCTGCTCCCCAAATCTGCTCCCCATGTTTCCAGGGTTTTTGAAAGAGTCTCAATTTGAGGGCCAATCTTATCACTGTCTGGGTGATGTTCCACGGCTAGGGAACCACTATGCAGATATATAATACAGGATGAAGGAAACTATGCTGGCAAAAATGATTTGAGATTCTGATTAAGATCAGAAGTCACAATCCCTCCTTATGCTCTGTTGGACTCCTAGAATATTTCATTCAGTTCTGGGTTAGGGTGTCTGGAAGAACATTGACAAACAATTAAGAAGAAGAAAGCAATTAAGATGTTAAGGGACTTCAGGGAAACAGATATGAGGAAGGGTTGATATGAGCTATATTTAGCTACAAAAGAGAAAATTATGGGTCAACAAGATAGTTGCACTCAAGTATTTGAAGGGCTGAAATGCAGAAAATGTGGAAGGCTTGTGAGTTTCATTCTATAAGAGGATACAAGGAATAACAAGTTTAAATTACGAAGAAGATTTTCCTAATGGCAAATGAAATGAAACAGTAATGGGCCATTTTGTTTGAGAGATTGTAGACTTTTAAACAGAGGTTGGATTGTCACCTGTCCAGAATACGTTGGGGTCCAGACAGGGAAATGAATTAGAATCTAAAAACTTACAATGGTCCCTCCAGAATAGATAACTCTCAGAAATAGAAGATTATTGTTTTTGGAAGGTCATGATCTCCAGTTAGGATGGCATACTTTTTTATGGTATGATAAAAGTAAAACCCATAGATATTTTCAAAGGCATTATATAAGAAACACTTTATTTCTAGTATGGTAAAAGGTGAAAGCAAAATCTACATGAAAATACCAGTCTGGCACTCAACAATAGAAGCATTCATCCATCCAAATGTAGTAAATCTGGAAAAAAATCTTAACTTATCTTAACTTAAAGACATTTTGAATGTGGAAAGGGAACTTAAACCAAACAAGAGTTACAGAACCAAGGTGTGGACTTATCATGATGCCCATATATGCAAATGCAGTTGAGATACAAGAAAGATATTAAGACATATGGCTTCTACAATGAGCAAACAATATTTGATTGAATAATGTTAGAAGTCAATGAAAAGTTAATAAAGAAAATATACTTATTTTGTTCAAGTTTTTTTATTTTTTACAAACATATCAATGCTTGAACAGTGTGGCACCTGAGTGTCATACATTTTGATATAAAAATAGTATTAATCATATTTGTTTCTTTTAACAAACTTATATAATTGTAGTAATAATGCACATATTTTTATTAAATTATAATCTTTCATTATTTAGTTATTTAATATTTCAATGTGTAATTTTTATGCCAATCACCTTATTCTAAGTGTCATACCTTTTTAATACAAATAGAATGTTATTAATCATATTTATTACCTTTAGCAAGCTTATATAATTCTAATAATAATACAAACATTTACGTTAAATTAAAATCTTCCATTATTTGCTTGTTCAACTTATGATCCTTCATTATTTGGTTGTTCAATATTTCAAAATGTTATTTTTATGTCAATCACCATATTCTGCATGTCATACATTTTAATACAAATAAAGTATTTTTAATCATATTTGTTACATTTAGCAAACATACACATATTCATAATGAATTATAATCTATTATTTATTTAATCAATAGTTCAGTATATTATTTTTATACCAGTCACCATATTCTTTAAGTATACCTAGTAATACTGTCATTCAAGTTCTAATTTCCCCTCTTATTATTACTTCTCCTTGTTATATAAAAATGTGTATTTTATTAATCCCCCTCTCTCTAGGTTCCATCCCTATTCTAACTTTAATTATGCCACTACTATTGTTTCAGATATCTAAACATATTCCCTTTCTAACCATCATCTCTTATTCACTGTAAAGCTTTAATTGTTCATTTCTTAGCTTGCCTCCCATATTCTTCTCTTGGACCTTTAATTCTGTCTGCTTCCACATCTTGGCTACTCATTTTAAACATTTCTCCCTTCTCTGTCCCTCTCTGTTGTCTACTTTTCAAAATATCCACTCTTGCCCCTATCTCTCTCCCATAAGAATCTTCCTGGTTCTCCAGTTCCTAACTTCTTGCTAAGCTTAAAAATGTAAGACAAACAGATAAAAGAGACAATGATAGTATGGGCATTTTTTTTTTTGATAAACTATAGCATTAGGCAAATGGCAAAAACTTTGGGAAATAAACTAAGCTGACAATGGCAACTGCTTATAAGGAAAATTTATATAAAATGTTTTACAGATGACACTTGCCACTGGCGACACTAGCAAAGATGTTTAAAATTATGTCCACCAGATGTTGGCAATGTCATCAGATTTCAGGCATGTACTATCACATGTAGTGGACATGTGCAAAAGCAAAGAATTACTGGACAAAAATACATGGTTAAAAAAAATGTTGAAGCAGCATATAGACTATAAGCCAGAAATATTTTTGTTAGGTATAGTACCAGAGAAGTATGATAAAAGGAGGATATATTTAATACTACATGTTTTGACAGCAGGAAGAATCATATTTGCACAGTATTGGAAAAATGAGAATATACCTATAGAAGAAGATATAATTCAAAACATTTAGATTGTGCAGAAATGGACAGATTGACATTAAAGATAAAAGAAAGGGAAGATACAGAATATTTTTGAACATGGGATTTGTTTCACAAATGGTTGGATAACAGAGGTAGACATTAGGAGTTAGAAAAGTATTATTATATAAATAATTATATAAGCAAATTGACCCAGTCAATACGCTGTTCACCAAGTACTTGGGTATATAAATTGAAAATGTATAAATAAAATGATTTTAAAAAGCAAGTTGTATAAAGGTACTTTACTA